TGGGGTGACCATAACACCGAGCACATCACCAGAGGCACACATCAACCAAATAACTGCTGCAGCATATGGGCGCCTGGCAAACCTGAGAATGGCGTTCCGATACTTTAATAAGGAATCGTTCAAGACACTGTACACTGTGTATGTTAGGCCCATACTGGAGTATGCAGCACCAGTCTGGAACCCACACCTGGTCAAGCACGTCAAGAAGTTAAAGTACAAAGGTTTGCAACAAGGCTAGTCCCAGAGCTCAGGGGAATGTCGTACGAGGAAAGGTTGAGGGAAATCGGACTGACGACACTGGAGGACAGAAGGGTCGGGGGAGACATGATAACGACATACAAGATACTGCGGGGAATAGACAAGGTGGACAGAGATAGGATGTTCCAGAGAGGGGACACAGGGACAAGGGGTCATAACTGGAAGCTGAAGACTCAGACGAGTCACAGGGACGTTAGGAAGTATTTCTTCAGTCATAGAGTTGTCAGCAAGTGAAGTAGTGGAGGCAAGAACCATACATAGTTTTAAGAAGAGGTATGATACAGCTCAGGAAGCAGAGAGGGAGAGGACCTAGTAGCGATCAGTGAAGAGGCGGGGCCAGGAGCTGAGTCTCGACCCCTGCAACCACAATTAGGCGAGTACAATTAGGTGAGTGTACACACACACACACACACACATACACACACACGCATACGCACGCGCGCGCTCGTCTCAGACTGGGAGACAAAGCGAGTTCATACAAGGATAACTACTAAGATCGCCGCTGTGCCTAACATGCAAGCGACCTACCATAAAGAAACTAACCTTAATTTGTGTGTTTGCTGACGATGTAAAATTAGAGAGCTTGATAAGAAGAAAGAGAGGAGCAGGATAAGTTCTAAAGACCTGGAAAAGCTTCTGGAGTCCAATCCAGACAAATGCCAGACCATAGGGATTATAGAAGGAAAATTAATATAGGATTACAACTAAGGAAGTGAGAAGCTGTGTAGACAGCCTGTACTGTCTGCACAGACAGCCCATGCTGTCTGCCAGCTTAGTTCATATTTCGCGCCATGCTGGTGCTGCCTTGCCACTTCAGTATGCCCAGACTTGCCTCACCCTCACTCACACAGCGGCCTAGCAGCAACACACAAGGCCTCCCAGCTCTCTCTCGTGGGATGGCCCTGCCCGGGCCATGGGCACAAACACACAAGCCTGTGTACCCACCACTACTTAACAATAAAGTAAGAAGCCTCCGAAGACGTATCATTAACCACCCGCTTGCAGCACCTACCAAACCAACCCGTTATAGCTGTATTATTATTATAATCAAGGGGGAAGCGCTAAACCTGGAGGATTATACAGCGCCTGGGGGGATGTTTAAGGTATTCAGGCTTAATTCGGGGAAGTGGAGCACAGATCCAATTCCCTAAATCAAGAGCCCCTCACCAATATCAAGGAACCTTCCTTGAGGGGTTATAGCTGTAGATATTAGTATAACGAAAAATATATTAACGGAGGTACACATAACCGTATATCTTGCATTTGCAAGACCTTAGAACACCATTATGGAATAAATTCTTCAGAATTTTATACGCGACATATGTTAGGACTGTCTTCAAATGCATGGCCTTCAGTGTGGAATTCCCATCTCGGTCAAGCACCTGCAAAGGTTAAAGAGGTTGAAACTTTTGCAATCAGACTAGTCGCAGAACTGAGAGGAATGCATTATGAGGAGACGGTGCAGGAACTGCACCTGAAGATTGTAGCGGAAAGGACTAACGAAGACATGATTACGACGTACAAAATTTTAATAGTAATAGAAAAGCAGATAGGAACAAACTATCTAAATTAAGATTGTATACAAGGGGACATGTGCTGACTGAAGACACAAAAGCTATAGGAACGTTAAGAAGCCCTGTATTTCTTTACTCTCTAGGCTGAACAAAAGTGAAACGAGTTGGAAGTGGTAGAGGAAAATGAAGTTTCAAGAGTAGGTGAAATAGGGTAATTTCTCAGCTCCTGGCCTCGCCTGTTAAAGTGCAGTCAACCAGCATACTAGTTCCTGGCCTCTGAAGCCCTGTCATATCTACTCATGAAACTGTGTATGGAAAGTACGTAGACCAGTTCATTACTACCCTCAGACTGTAAAAAAAAAAAAATCTTAACCCGCATATATGAGAAAGAAACTTATGTCGACATTTCAGTCCGACTTGGACACTTAACTAGTCAAACACTAGTTAATGGTCCAAGTTGGACCGAAACGTCGTCATAAGTTTCTCCTATATGTGGGTTATTTGTGTATTATCACTCCTAAATCTCGCACATGAAACTTTCGCTCTCGTGAATGATTTGATTTATGTCCTGTACTCTATTACAGTTTTTATTTCCTCCATTCTTTCATAGCGGAGCAGTTGAACCTTATGATTTGTTAAACGTCGTATTGTTCTCTTGATTTATGTCTTCCTGAAGATTCGCTGTGTCTTCAATAAACGTCACTCTCATAGTTAATTCTGGTGTCATCAGCAAAGGATGTTATGGCGTTGTTATTTATGTCCTTGTCACTGTCGGATATAAAAATGAAAAATAGATGTGGTGAGTGTACCGTGCCTTGAGGAACAAGAGTTTTTCAGTGTCGGATTAAAAAGCTAAATATCCATCCGTCCATTTTTCCATTCATTCCCTTTGCGCGCAGTCACACCATGGTCGCACTTCCCGAACGCTTTTGCGAAATCAGTGTACCCTGCATCAACATTTAGTGTCTTCCAAAGCATCCATGACCACATCGTACTGGTCTATTGTTATCACCTGTAATTTATATTTGATTGTGTAGACATGTCATCTCTTTGATTCCTTAGTAACAGGGTATTTTTAATGTGAAAATCTAAAATTATAAACTTAATACTGTAACTGTTCAACTAACAATAAATGTGTCAGAGAATGAGAAGTATCTTAACGGTAAATCAATAATCATATTCATCCTTAGGTAGGTATGAATACTGTGTTGTATGCTACGTCATGCCCCTCTCAGTGAAACAAATATTCCACCCTAAGTTAAAAAGTTCATGGAAAATCTGTTTTACTGAAACAAACTGCGACTTACACAGCATGTCTGCACCACTGCCACCAACCACGAAAACAAACATTACTACCTGTTGTTTATAAATAGTATCGGTAAAACTTAAATTATAATTGATAATGGTTACTAATCCAAAGTAATCTCAAACAGTTTTGTAGGGGAGTTGTGTGGAGTTCAGTTTAATTAATGGTACTACAGCACTGAAACCAAAGGGTGATTTTTCTGAGTCGCTTTTAAGGTAAAAAAAGAGCACCTTATATTCGGGAAAATACGGTATTAGAGTTGAAACATACGAAAGTAAAGGTAAGTATATACTAAACATATATGGAAGATTGTATGATATACCTGCCATCTTTCATGTTCACTAGATAAAAATCACAAACCAACAACTTTTTTGGGGGGGTTCCGTGATGGCATCACTACCAAGGAAGGATGCTCGCTCCACCAAGCGTTTTCGCACACTTAGATTAACGACATTATGCACACTTTCTTTACAAGCTTAACTTTTTAACATGTTCGTTCGCTGTTATTATAAAATACGGATGTAGTCGAGATGATACAATATATGAATTTCTTAGTTTTAATTGAGATAAGACTAAGGCAGCCTCATTGTCTCCAACTCTCAGGTAACCCGTCGCCCAGTCTGGTGCGTGATATAATTCACGACAGTGGAGCAATTTGTAATAATAAAAAGTTGGAAGTTAGATGGGAAATGATTATGAAAGACTGCTTCAACTGGACTAAAGTCTACGTGATAATCAGTAAGGTTAGAGATGGATAAGACCAATTACGGATGATAGTATAGTAATTATGTGCGTTAGTGAAGTAGGGCCTCAAAACGAGGAGGTAGCGTGGGTAGCTTCAGTTATCAGGAAGATAACATCTAGCCTGCAGCATATAAAACCCTGGCTGTGGTCCTCATCCCACTCAGTAGCACATCTGACGACGTGAAACACACGCCTGATCATTGTGTGCTTGGTAAACACCTGTAGTGTGATCATAGTGACCTGACCTACCATTTTTCTGTGTATAGTGCGACTCAAAACGCATTGTGACTTAACATTGGTAGTGAAGATGGTTGCAGCACCCAGAAGAGCGAGAGAGCGTAGAGCACTGGAGGAGGTGGAGAAGGAGAGTGTACTTTCTCTCATCAAAGCCGTACTTGATATTAAGGGCGTCTCTACTCTTAACATCAACCTTCGTGCACTGGTGCACCTACTGAAGACCGTCCTTAAGCCAGAGACTTGGCAGAACTTGTTGCAGGTAAAAAAAAAAAATTGTAGTGGAAGTGAAAACTGGTTGGTTGAGGGCGGTTTCAAGGACAGTAATAATTAGTGTGTAGCTACCTTATATTATATATATATATATATATATATATATATATATATGCAATAAGATCACAGTAAACAGGTGATTTCAAAATATGCAAAACAACCACTCTGAAAGAATAGAGAAATTCCAAGCGCTTTCGTGACTACTCACATTATCAAGGAACTATGATAATGAGAGTAGTCACAAAAGCGCTTGGAATTTCTCTATTCTTTCAGAGTGGTTGTTTTGCATATATATATATATATAATATATATATATATATATATATATATATATATATATATATATATATATATATATATATATATATATATATAATTCACATACAGTAGATGCAATGAAAGTGTGGCTTGACTAAAGAAAGTGTCACCGGGGAGGGTACAGAGAACGTTCATAGCTGTAGATTCAGACTTTATAACATGGTAGTAGATTGCATGTCAACATTGTGTAATAGAATTGCACTGTCATGCCTTGTTTCAATAGATTTCTTTATCACATGGATTCTTGATCTATTTGTATTTCATTTTACTGTTGACAGTAGTTTAAGTCTTATAGGAACAAGTAGTGATATATTTTCTGCTGTCTTCTGACTTGTGTTGTTCTCGGTGTTCAGAATGCGCTGAACGAGTTCAACTTCCTGCACGAGGGGGAGGTGATTGACCGAGGAGTGAACACCCCTGCGGCCCCCGTCGAGGGCCAGGTCAGTATCGAAGAGGTAGAAGAGGTAGAGGAGGAGGAGAAGGAGGAAGAGGAGGTGACAGCTGAGGGCAGCGCTCTCCACTGCTCCCAGATTCGCTCGTCCTCTCCACCCTCCTATCATGTCCACCTGCCAGACGACCAGGTACACCGTCACAACCACCACCACCTTCCTTCAGCCATCTACTACACCTCAACTGAACTCTTATTCCCTGGCTCGCCTCTGTGTGACCACCATACTACCAATAATACGATACAGTAATTCAGTAAATTACTTAAATGAACTAATTCCCTCTGTAAACCACTAACTCGCAATACCAACTACTTATATAAACATCTAACTTACACTGTGAGGTAATATAAACCATTAATTCACACTAAGAAATAACTCCTTTTATAAATAACTTAAAATATGACCTAAATAGATGTGCAACTCATAACATGCCGTCAGTCCTGCCAGCCACTCTCAGCATTTTGCGATGTGCCCTAATACTCAAAAGCCAAGTAAAATATGCCATAACTCGCCTATAAACCACTCACTATATACCTTAAGCTCATAATCTAGACGACTTACACTTCTGGCTAACACCTATCAACCCTGGCTAACTCCAACACTACCTTAATAATGGCAAGGCCACACCACTAACACTGCCATCTCTATGCCTGGACAGGCATGAAGCACCCACCATGCATGACAGTGGACTCAACCCTGTGCATGCTAGTACACTAAATAGACTCCATCTTGGTTCTCTGGCATGGTTTGACATCACTATAAGCTTGTAGCCCGTTAGTCACTCACTGATGTGAGTGAGCAACTCATGTGTTTATAATTGGACACTGCAAAATATTTCTTTTAAAGCTATTAACACAAATTAGAGCCTTCACTCTCGCTTTTGCTTCACTTTGTTGATCATAGTTTATGAAATATGATTTTCTTGGTGAAAGCTGGAATTTTTTGGGAATCAGACCAGCAAAGTAAAAACATATTCTTTGTCATTACAGATTGGAGGACGTGATGTGGAAGAGGTGCCAACACGGAAGTTACCTCTATCACGGTTTGACCGTGACCGTGATTCTGCATACGACACGTACCGCAATTCCCAATATGGATCCATGGGCATGGAACAGTTCCGCCTCATCTCTGTGTTGGGACGAGGCCACTTTGGCAAAGTCATTCTGGGTCAGTACAAGAACACAGGCGAGTACTTCGCCATCAAGGCTCTCAAAAAAGGGGACATTATTGCCAGAGATGAGGTCGAGAGTCTTTTGGCGGAAAAACGAATCTTCGAGGTGGCCAACTCGGTCAGACATCCCTTCCTCGTCAACCTATTTGCATGTTACCAGACGGAGGTGAGCCTAACACTTGCTACTTCATGGCTATATGTACACTACATTGTTATTTTATTTTATCCTTGCTAAGGCTCTCCATTATTTAATTTTATCTTGTTTTGAAAGCAACATTCTTGTTATTCCATCAGATAGTTGAAGTCTATAGTGATCAATTAGTGTAAAACTAAAAAATCCAACCAGTACTTTATTAATTGCATAGATACAAGAGAGGTGTATATTTCTGTGTATATATAGAGTTTAATCACTATTTTAGGCATTAAAATATTCCTGACTGGTGGTAAACAGATTACATGTTGATAGGTTTTAGAAATTATTATACATGAGAAAAGCACTGAACCATATTAGAGATAGAGATAATAGGTGCAGAGAGAGGGGGTTATGGAGGGATGGGGTAAGGGTGCTGAAATCAACGTGTGAGAGGTTAAGAGTCCACACAGATTAGGTAAGTGTCGCACTTGAGGCAGGGTGGCTATCACTCAGGGGTATATTCAGTATGTACAGGAAATTTAGGTATAAAATATATATTCATTTACTTTGTCTACATTTCAGAGCCATGTGTGTTTCGTGATGGAATACGCAGCGGGGGGTGACTTAATGATGCACATACATGCTGACGTCTTCGACGAGCCCCGTGCTGTCTTCTATGCAGCGTGTGTAGTACTCGGTCTTCAATATCTTCATGACAACAAGATCATATACCGTGACCTCAAACTTGACAACCTGCTGCTTGACACAGAAGGCTATGTCAAAATAGCAGATTTTGGTTTGTGCAAAGAGGGCATGGGTTATGGTGACCGTACAGGCACCTTCTGTGGCACACCAGAATTCCTGGCACCAGAAGTGCTCACTGAAACCTCCTATACCAGAGCCGTCGACTGGTGGGGCCTCGGCGTTTTGATATTTGAGATGCTCGTTGGGGAGGTAAGACAGTCCATCAATTTATGGCTTTCTTTCATATCTGTAGGTTAACTTGTAACTCCTGAATCATATAGTATCTGACTTGCCATCATTTACATATACCTATCCAGTAAGTACATTATGAAAGGTTAAATATATTTTGTTTTTTCCAACAGTCCCCCTTCCCTGGTGATGATGAAGAGGAAGTGTTTGATAGTATTGTTAACGACGAGGTGAGATACCCACGGTTTCTCTCCATCGAAGCTGTGGCCATTATGCGGAAACTTCTCCGAAAGCACCCAGACAGGCGTTTGGGAGCCAGTGAGAAGGATGCAGAAGATGTAAAGAAGCAACAATTCTTCCGAAGTGTCGGCTGGGACGACCTATTACAGCGCAAGGTCAAGCCTCCGTTTGTGCCCACCGTGGTAAGTGCACGCCTTACACCTCTTACATGTATAATATATATATATATTTTTTTTTTATTGTATAATAAATGTGACTTGACAATGCTGGTGATCATTTTCTTAATGAGGACTGACTTTTAACATACAGGACTTTAGAGAGAGACTTTTTCCAGCAATTTTTTTTTTTGTTTCAATTGGGATGCCTTGATGCTGGTTTAGGGTTCTTTATCCAAGGAATTGGAGCTACCTTCCCCTTCATTAGATCATACCACTATTCCCCAGGTGCTGTATCATCCCTACAAGTTTGGTGCTTCACCATGAATTTAATATTCATGGGCTGCATTGTATGACCCTTGCAGGGTTAGTGCTTCTTGATTATAATATTCATGGGGAAAACATTAAACCTGTATCATGGTACTTGGGAAAAATGGGAGGCAAGGTGGTTTGATCCAAGAAAGGAACGAGTAGTTGTAATTTTTCTATAAAGAGCCCCTCACAAGTATTCACCAAAGATCTAGACCCATATTGAATTTTATAAAGGTACAGTGTCAATTTACACATTTTAAATGACACCATCTTGTTATTCTTTGCAGACATCCCCCGAGGACGTTAGTAATTTTGACGAAGAATTCACACTTGAAAAACCTGCCTTAACGCCGCCAAAGGACCCTCGCCATCTGAACGAGTCGGACCAGACTCTCTTCAAGGATTTTAACTACATGGCTGACTGGTGCTGAGTGCGGCATGATGCCAGGAGGGCAATCTCAGTGGAGGGCCTCGTGCCCTGGACCGCCAGCCGGCCCCTGTGTATCTCGAGGAGGAATCTGATGCCTGGAGCAGCTCACCTGTGGCAGCAAGAAGAGCAGCAAAGCAGCTGGCCATATGGCTGCTGATCTGCCATTAGCTCACTGGGAGCACTGGCTTGCTGATAGCAGCAGCAACAGCAGTTGTGAGGCAGACATGGCATAAGCAGATGCATTTACTCCTCTCGCTGAAACTGCATGAACTGATAGTAGTACCCAAGTGTGGGTACCCGCCTGTGTAATGAAGCTTGGAGAGGATCTTGTGTGCACCACTCCTAGCCCTGTCACACCTCCATCCCCTCTCCTACATGGTTGTAAATAAGCCACATCTCTCATCTATGACATCTGTCGCCATAAATAATACTAATCCCTATTAGTCTGTTGTTGCCCCCATCTATTGGTTGAGAAAATGCTAGCCCCCCTCCCCCCAATCCCCAGATGCTGGCTTTCCCACGTGACTAACAAGGGTTGGGGAGTGATAGTGTCGCCAGCACTGTTGTCACTCCTGCTGTTGGTCGTTTTAAAGTCAATACATGGAAACATGTCTCCTTGGATATTTATATTAACGTTTTTCAAATTGATTTGGACACATTTGAGAACTTTATATGAGCTTTTGAAATTAATGAATGCCCGTCCAAATTTTAGAACCTCTAATTGTGATAACCTGTGGCCTTTCCTGTTGTTAACTTCTGAATGCAACTATTTATTCATTGTGATATGTACTTTATGCATCGTCGACTTCACAAAGGTCCCGAGTTCCTCTCATGGAATACTCACTCTTACTCATCCCAAAAATTTATGAGATGTCAGGAATTCATTAGATCCGACAAAGTTGGATCTTCCTACATTGTGTACACTGCATGTAAGGTAGCTGATGACTAATTCCCACCTCTACCCCTTTTCCAATATCCTGTTTCACCCCCACTATCCCAGTAAGAAGCCAACACACCCTTAGGATCGTTGGGATCTGTGGAAGATGATGAATGTCCACACAACACACATTTTCAATGCTCAGTTTCATACGTGTGTACAGGTCAACTTTGAGGTGTGTGGCTTTATCATTTTTCATGGACTCTGAGTTGTGAATTTTTGTTGACATCCTCCAGTGATTATTGACATTGTAGGGATGATTAGTGTAAATTGAACAAGTGGTGATCCTGTAGGATATAAATATTTTAAATACTGTAATGAATATTATGAATCCAGTCATATATTTACAATGGCTGCTGAACACTGTCCTGGTAGCAGAAATGTGAAAAAAATGTGAAGATGGATATTACTCTTTAACTTTTGATTATTTGTTGCTGCCAAAAATCCAATGTTGCCATAAGATCTGCATCTGCGGAAGATTATAAACACCTTTAATCAGTCCGTTATGTTCAGACTATTATTTTGCGTTTTTGATCTGCTCGAACGATTTGGATTGTATTTTTACAAATATATAATGAGTCAGATTTGAGTCTGATATTATTTTGCTTGAATTAGGATTGTGTATGATATTTCTAGGACTTGTGTTCTCTTCTCCAGTGCTTGTCTGTTTATAACTTATTATTTTAGGTGTAGTAGTGACCTCCCCACACTGGGGGCTTGAGAAATGCTAGGCTTGTACAGATGGTTAAACAATTGTGTAAGGGTTAACAATCTGTTTTGTAGCTATTATGTCTTCAATAAATTTATACATATATTTTATCAATGTAGTTTTGTCATCCTTGCTAAGTAGTGAATTTAAAGATAATTTAGCATGGAAAACCTTGTACTATACAGTTTATCCACAGTAGGGCTTGATAAATCTCCACTGAGGTTGACACTGTATAACAAAGGCTTTCCTGCTAAATCTTGAAATCACTATTTTTAAACTTGTGAAGGTGACTTGGAAAGCACAATCACAAGATTCACAGCCCACAAATTGGTGATTAAACTACAAATTACATTCTATCTCAGACAATTATTAAGCACAAGACTTAATAATGGTCCAAGAAGATTATTGCTCCAGCCATTGTATTATGACTTCAAATATGGAAGCATTTATTTGTAATTCCGATATCCCAGTATGGTTTTGACGGCTGATTCCCGTTCCTTACGAGATGTGTTCTGTAACAAATAATATATATAGCCAAGTAGAACTATTACAGAAAATTATCATGAATAAAATAATGGGATAAGCACAAAGTACTGTATTATTATTATTATAATCAAAAAGAAGCGCTAAGCCACAAGGACTATACAGCACAAAGTACTGTAGAGAACTTTGATATGCTGAAAGCAGCATAAGATATCCTTCAAGTCAGCTACCAAGACTGACTGACAAGTTGCTTTAAGCCTGCAAACTAAAAGTAGTGTCAGCAAGATAACCTAAATAGATAACTGATTTATATAATATCAAACAAACAAGATACTGGTTAAGTGACCAAGGAGGCATTAATAACAAGACTCGCATTCATATGTAACTGAAGAGATTCGGCAAAAATACTACTGTACTCTACATTCATTGAGAAATGCTACAATCGTAGAAGTCATACAGCACCTTGGTGGTAATGGTCTGATCTGAGAAAGGGAAGCTGTATAGCCCTTGTGGCTTAGCGCTTCTTTTTTGATTATAATAATAATAATAATGAGAAAGGGAAAGGTGGGTAAGTTCAAGAACCCTTAACCAGCATTGCAGTAATCCCTGGAAGAATCCTGCTTACTAGCAAAAAACTTTTTTTTTTTTTTAACTGTTTGTCTCCCTCTGAGGTAGGGTGACTTCAAAATAAGAAGAAACATTTCACCATCACTGTCTTCCCAGAGGGTCAAGACAGTGATGTTCCTTGCAGGTTAATATATAACTTGCAAGGAACAGCCATCAGTTGAGAACATTATAACTAGCAGTCAACATCTTGCTGGGACAGAATTACAAATAACTTAATGTATATTACAGCTGATTTCCTCTATTCTGTTTAATACAAGTACACTACTGTATAAACATTAAAAAATATGCCAGAAATGTTACAAATGGTGCAAAGGTGACATTCAAACAATATCTAAGATGGTTAACACAAACCCACTACCATTATAGTATGCTCCTTACTTAGCGACGAATTCGTTTACCAACGTGGTCTTAGAATGGAGCTCCGTCATTAAGTGAGGAGAGGCCGTATTATATATTTCTGCAGGACAGTGTGGAATGACACATGGGTCTAGCAGCTGTTACAAGTACAGTAACAGAGTTCAGGTGATTTAACTAGACCTTCCCTTCCCCAGATCAAACTTGACTGCTTCCCATTCTCTTGGCACTGTATAACTTATGGTTTGGCAATTTCTGTTTGCTGCACCCAACAGCACAAGCACTAACCACTGAAGCAGCTCACAAAGATGAGAAAAATCCGACATACGCACAGCATGTGTATTACTTTGATATAGACAAATGAAGTATAATGTGTTCCTTTACTGATAACATTTCACCCACACAGTGTGCTTTATTAAGTTACAAACAGATCTACCTCTTGTGACTTGATAAAGCAGTGTGAGCAAAACGCTGTCAACAAAGGATTGCATTATACCGCATGTGTCTTTATCCATGGTGTAAATATTTTACACCATTTCTTTCCATGTGTAGTGCTTGTCATTACGGTTTCATAAAATATGGCTCACATGATTGCAAGGTCACATGCAAAACCTCAATACGTGAGTACTCCCCTTCCTTAAACTGAGCCTAAAAGCTTCCCATTCCCCAAGCTCACTCGTAAATATAATAATGTTTCTGTTTAGCACTTTTTGCTAATAAAAACAGTGCACAGCAGAATCAAAGCCAGCAACATGATCTTTATGATGATAACCGTTATTTATATAATGTATATTATACACTTTATATAGGACTGACTTGAAAGCCCCTGGTTATGTAGAACACTCTCAGCAGCCTTATAATAAAATTATAACGACTGAACAATTAATTAGATTAAGTGTGCTACCCATAAGTTTCTCCTACATAGTTCTCAACCAGACTGCCACCCATAAGTTCCTCTTATATAGTTATCAACAGACTGCCACCCATAAGTTCCTCTTATATAGTTATCAACCAGACTGCCACCCATAAGTTCCTCCTATATAGTTCTCAACCAGACTGCCACCCATAAGTTCCTCTTATATAGTTATCAACCAGACTGCCACCCATAAGTTCCTCCTATATAGTTATCAACCAGACTGCCACCCATAAGTTCCTCCTATATAGTTATCAACCAGACTGCCACCCATAAGTTCCTCTTATATAGTTATCAACCAGACTGCCACCCATAAGTTCCTCTTACATAGTTCTCAACCAGACTGCCACCCATGAGCTTCTCTTACACACAAATTCTGGAGCCATCCCTGGTTACAGAAGATGATAGTGCTACATGGCTGGTGTAATTATTCCACTGGAGAAATTACATCACATTCATAGGAAAACACTAAAACCTTAAGGGAATGGGATACAATCAAGTTTGACTGGAGGAAGCGGAGGGTAACCCAGTTTCCCTCGATCAAGAGCTCTTCACCAGTATCCAGGCATGCGACCTCCGCTTGTAGTGTTCTTGGATAAAGAGACTCGTTAGCATCAAGGAACACCCCCTCCCCCTAGTGTTCTTGGACAGAGAGACCTTCACAGCATCAAGGCATACCCCCTCCCCCCAGTTTTCTTGGATATTTCTTCACAGTATCAAGGAACACCCCTCTCCCTTAAAGAGTTCTTGGATAGATTCCTTCACTAGCATCAAGGCAAACTCCCTGCCTTGAAAGGCCCTTGGGTAAAGCCCTTCAACATCAATGTCCCTCTTCACATTGAGACCTTCATTAGCATCAAGCATTAGCATGCAAGTGTTCTTGGATAAAGATTCCTTCACAGCATCAAGGAACACACGCCTCCTTTTAAAGTGTTCTTGGATAGAGTTCTTCAAACATCATGGCAAACTCCCCTCCCCCTCAAAGTGTTCTTGGATAGTCACAGCATCGAGGCACACTCCCTGCCTTGAAAGGTCCTTGAGTAGAGCCATTCAGCATCAAGGTCCCCTCTTCACCTTGAAAGAAACCATACCCCGGCCGGGATTGAACCCGCAGTCATAGAGTCTCAAAACTCCAGCCCGTCGCGTTAGCCACTAGTGGCTAACGCGACGCTGAGTTTTGAGACTCTCTGACCGCGGGTTCAATCCCGGCCGGGGTATGGTTTGTTTGCAATCGTGTCATTACGATTTCGTGAGTCACCTTGAAAGGTTATATAACAAGTGCTCAACCCATAAGGCATAGAGCAAAAATTATCATTAAAAAATCAGTACAATCCCACAGCACTTGCTGGCTATTTTATTGCTCTACAGCAATCTTAAATGCTTAAAGAACAGTAAATGTAAACAAAGTCACAATACGTGGCCTGAACGATTTACAACCCACAATACCGTGGCTGGAGCAATTTACAACCCACAATACCGTGGCTGGAGCAATTTACAACCCACAATACCGTGGCTGGAGCAATTTACAACCCACAACACCGTGGCTGAGCAATTTGCAACCCCAAATACCGTGGCTGGAGCAATTTGCAACCCACAATACCGTGGCTGGAGCAATTTGCAACCCACAATACCGTGGCTGGAGCAATTTGCAACCCACAATACCGTGGCTGGAGCAATTTGCAACCACAATACCGTGGCTGAGCAATTTGCAACCCACAATACCGTGGCTGGAGCAATTTGCAACCCACAATACCGTGGCTGGAGCAATTTGCAACCCACAATACCGTGGCTGGAGCAATTTGCAACCCACAATACCGTGGCTGGAGCAATTTGCAACCCACAATACCGTGGCTGGAGCAATTTAGCAACCCACAATACCGTGGCTGGAAGCAATTTGACAAACCCACAATACCGTGGCTGGAGCAATTTGCAACCCACAATACGTGGCCTGGACAATTTGCAACCCACAATACCGTGGCTGGAGCAATTTGCAACCCACATACCGTGGCTGGAGCAATTTGCAACCCACAATACCGTGGCTGGAGCAATTTGCAACCCACAATACCGTGGCTGGAGCAATTTGCAACCCACAATACCGTGGCTGGAGCAATTTGCAACCCACAATACCGTGGCTGGAGCAATTTACAACCCACAATACCGTGGCTGGAGCAATTTACAACCCACAATACCGTGGCTGGAGCAATTTACAACCCACAATACCGTGGCTGGAGCAATTTGCAACCCACAATACCGTGGCTGGAGCAATTTGCAACCCACAATACCGTGGCTGGAGCAATTTGCAACCCACAATACCGTGGCTGGAGCAATTTGCAACCCACAATAACCGTGGCTGGAGCAATTTAGCAACCCACAATACCGTGCTGGAGCAATTCTGCAACCCACAATACCGTGGCTGGAGCAATTTGCAACCCACAATACCGTGGCTGGAGCAATTTGCAACCCACAATACCGTGGCTGGAGCAATTTGCAGCCCACAATACCGTGGCTGGAGCAATTTGCAGCCCACAATACCGTGGCTGGAGCAATTTGCAACCCACAATACCGGTGGCTGGAGCAATTTGCAACCACAATACCGTGGCTGGAGCAATTTTCAACCCACAATACCGTGGCTGGAGCAATTTCAACCCACAATACCGTGGCTGGAGCAATTTGCACACCCACAATACCGTGGCTGGAGCAATTGCAACCCACAATACCGCGGCTGGAGCAATT